AGCTCCAGGTTGAGCTGTTGTTCAGCATCTTAGCTGTGGAGGGCAGTGTCACTGGCCCTCATATGTGGGATCCGAACCGGGGCCCTCTGGCATCCCAAGCAAATTGTTAACCATCGCGCCACTCGGCTGGCCCTGAATTTTTGTCCCCAGAAAAATATACGCTGAAGTCCGAACTCCTAGTACATAAAAAATGTGACCTTATTTGGAAATAGGATGGATTGACGCAGATTAATTAGTTAAGATGAGGTCTTACTGAAGTCGGGTGGGCCCTTAATCCAATATAACTGGTGTCCTTATACAAAGAACATCATGTGAACAGACAGAGACTCATAGGGAAAGGATGGCCATGTGACCATGGAGGCAGAGATTGGAATTGTGCTGTCACATGCCGAGGAAGGCCTGGCGCCACCAGAAGCCGGAAGAGGCAAGGAAGGATCTTCCGCTACAGGCTTTAGAGGGAGCATAGCCCCATCAACACCTTAATTTTGGACTTCCGGCCTCCAGAAATGTGAGAGAGTAAATTTCTGTTGTTTTTAAGCAACTCTGTTGGTGGTACTTCGTTATGGCGGCTCTAGGGAAAAAGCACAATATTTATATACCAACACTATGCACCATGAGGACTGCCCCAGCAACCATGATGCCCCCAGCAACTTCTCATGTGCCTTTGCAAACATCCCAGCATGATCTTATGGCCAGAGAAAAGAGACCCCATGCAGAGAGATAATAAGAAGGCTTCCAGAAGCATGTGCCCGGGGTTTAGAACAACTTGCTGTCAATTTATAGCAATGATTGGCTTTCTCTCCATGTGATAAAGCTGAAACTCTCCTGGAAAAGTAAGTCACTGAAAGTAAATCTGAAAAGAATCTGGTTAAGAATCAGGTAATTCTTGACTTTGTCAAGGGTAGGAGAACCAGGCCTTCCTGGATGAATAAAAGCCTTACGTGATCCCCAGACTTATTTTTGCCACCTCCCAGAGAATAACAGCTCTTTACCTGAACTGTCAGAACAGTAGAAATCAACCAAGTAGCAGCCACCATCAACGAGGAATGAAAAGACAGGTCAAAGGAGAGAGTAAGGGAAACTGTCCAACTGTCTTACTCTAAGAAGCTGCGAGCATTTTAATGGCAGCAGCCAACACTTCCTGCACCATTGCCACATGCCAGGCACGTACTCCAAGTTTTTTGCATAAACTCCTATCATCCTCATAACAACCCAGTGAGACAGACAGCCTTATTTTACAGATGAACCTGAGGTCCAGAGAGGGAAAGTAGCTTGTCCAAAGTAACACAGCTGCTTGGTAACAGTCACAGCCTTGTCTCCTTACAGAGTAAAAATCAGACAGGCCCTGAGGGTCCAGGCATCTGTCTGGACCAGCCCAGATGTTGTGATTCCTGGTCCAGAGTTCTTCCCATTAGCCAGGCTTTCTCCTCGGCCCTGAAAACTGACCCTTGGCCAGCTACTCCCAGAGCTCTCCAGATAACAGGATTTCAAAAGTAATATCTTAGGCTCATTTTTTGAAACAGTTTCTTTAAGCCTATTTAATCTTTCTCCAGGCTGGAGGAGCAGATGTCTTTTCCTGATCTTTTTCTATTTATATCCTTCAAAGGTTTGCTTTTTTTTCCTACTCTGCATCCAAAGATCAATAAATCCTAATGCTGTCTTTTAGAATTTAAAGAATGGGTTTGAAAATTTATTCTCCTCTCTATTAGCCCAAAGGAAGCTGAGGACATGAAGCTTTTGGCCTCAGGTGAATCTTTTATTATTTAAATGGAAACAGACATATTTTTTCAAGGATGGCAGCACAGTCATTGTCACAAGCATGGTAATATATCGATTTTGCGAGAAAGAATATGCTACAAGTCATGCTATTCTTATTTTCAATAGCATTCTGGCAAAAATTAAAGACATTTCCAATTGTGTCAAGCACTTAATAAATAGTAAATTCTACTTTCTGCCTTTGGGTAAATAAATGATGTCTTTCAGTGAAGTGGTGGAAATGTGAGGGGTGCTTCTTAAAATGGCCCTTGGCTCCAATGACCATCAGCCCCTTCGGTTACCACTGAACTTCTGAGCTATTTTCTGTAGTTCCAAATCCATTGCAGCCAAGTTTTCAAGTTCTTTTTCCTAGAAAACACAGGAAAGTGAAAGCATGAGGTCCCAGATCTATTTTGTTACAGTTTAAGGCAGTAGAAACGGGAAGGGAAATTTTTTTGATGTGTATGAGGCTATATGAGACACCCTATATTAGTGGTTCGCAAAGTGTAGTCCCCTGGCCAGCACATTAGCAGCATCACTGGGGAACTTGTCAGAAATGCAGAGTCTCAGGCACCAACCGAGACCTACTGAATCATACTGGGAATCCCTCATGATGTTGATGCATGTTCAAGTTCCAGAAGCACTGACCTACATAATCAATATTAGGAAAAAACATTGCTTAGGCAGGCACAGCTCTGATAATGTTACCTTTCCCAGATGAAAACTTCTGGTTGTTATAGGCCACGAGCTGACACAGATAGAACAAAGCAAGTCATTTCTCTATCATCTGTTCTTTACTATCCTGGGAAATAGTGATGCAAAGGTCAAATAAGGGAAGACACCAGAACAGTGGTTGTCACTTTGGCTGATATTAAAATCCTGATGCCCTGATATCACCCAGTACCAGACAGACAGACTCTTTGGGGGTGGGTCCCAGATATCAGTAATTTATAAACCCTCCAGCTGATCCCAATGTGCAGCCAAGGCTGAGAAGCACTGCAGTAGGAGGAAGTGGCAATGGCTAGAAGTTGGGTGGAAATCAAACCCAGAAGTTGTCTCCACTCCATTACTAGGGGTTCATTATTATGCTGATGAATTCCCACCAATTTCTCCCCATTAATATCAGATAGTCTTGAACATATTAACATTAACCATCTTAAGTGAATTTAAAAAACAACCCACACCGTACCTCTTCCTCTGTCAGAACTCCAGGGCCAGCCCTGTCCTTTTCATTTTCTGCCGCGTGGTGTGGGCTCATCTGCTCCTCAGAGTCATAGAAATCTGGAAACTCGGCTGACTTCTTCCTGTAGTGAAGGAGCTGGTCCAATTCGGCCACTCTGTCATACTGCCTTTTCAGATCCAGTTTGGGGGCAAAGTTTCTCTTCTCATATCCCCAATTCACATCCTCCTCAAAGGGCTTTTTCTCCCACCAGTCATAGTTGTATTCTGGGAAGAAATTCTTCTCATTCAAGGTCAGGCCATTTTCCTCTTCACCCTCAAGAAAATTGTCATCCACGTTGTCTTTTCTCTCCAAATGGTGGCTCTTCCACTGGGAAGGGTCGTAGTATGGATTGAGCAGCTCTCCTAATCTCCTCCTCTTTTCAGGGCTGAGATAGGAAGCAGATGGTTTGCCCTGAAGCCTGCCTTCCTCCCTGTCCCCTTTAGGGTCCTGCAGGTCCTCCAGCTGCTGCCACTTCCCTTGGGGTCCTTCCTCCCCCATTTCCTCACCATAGTTGAGGTCATTTCTGTCCTGCTGTTTCCACTCGCCTTGTGAATGCCTCCTCCTCTTGTCCATCTGGTTGTCTTGAACACGGTAGAGTCCTTCACCCAAGAATCGTTTCTCTTCTTTGTCTGGAGTGGAATAGGCACCAGGCTCCCTGCCCCTGGCTCTGTGGTGGTGTCCCCACTCAGGGCCCTTCTCTTCCTCACTTTCTTCACTATATCCATGTGCCATATTGTCAAGCTCGGAGTTGGGGCGATATCTCTTGTCCTCTTCCACTAGGCGCTCATCACTGGGAGGCCTTGGAGCCCTGTACTCCTCATTTCCTCTTTCCCCATATTGTCCCCCCTCCAGGTTCTTGGGAGCCTGGATTCCTGGGTAACGCCTCACTTCTTCCCCGTATTCGGATTCTTCCTCTGAAGCCCTGTAGTGGGTTGGATGACGGTCCCTCTTGTCCCCTAAGCTGGTTATGCCCATGTCTGACTCAGATTCCTCACGGGGGTGTCCCCTGTCCTCAGAGGGAGGATTCCCTTCTTGAAAGGACCTATCAGGCCTGCTCTGCCCATGGCGATGTCTTGGCCTCGAGAGTCGTTTGTCTACCTCACGGCTGGCATCTTCTTCACTTTCCTCAGAATCTTCCAGGCTCCTGGGTTGGCTTTTGGACTCGTGGGGGTGTTTCTCCTGATTCCTTGTCTCTTCTCCACTCTCCTGGCTACTCCGCTCCCGGCTGTGTGTCTTCTCCTCAGGCAGCCTGGCAGAGGGTGGATTGTATCTGGACGCCATCTCCTCTTTTTTCTGAGCTATAGCCTGATTTATTTTGTTGAGAAAGGCATTTTGTGTCTCTCCTGGCTCTTCCAGGTGTCTCTCTTCACCGCCACCTTCCCCACGCTCCCTTTTCTGATATTTCTCTCCTTCCTCTTCATCTGTGTTCTCTCCTTCGCTCTTCTCAGAATGGTGTGTCTTTGCTTCTTGACTGTCAGAGGCATAGAGGCTCCCTTGGGGCTCACTTACTCCCTCCTGGATGTGCCAACCTCCCTGTGTGTTGGCCACTGAGGGGCCTTGGGTGTCCACCTCCCCTGGGATTTTTGCATCCTCCCTACTGGAAGGCCTGCGGGCTTCTGAGGTATCAGCTGGGCCTCTTAACAATCTTACTTCAAACCTTGTGTTTTCATTTTCATTTTTCTCTTCATCTTTAGAGTCCCTTCTACCTATAAGGAAAAATTTAAAAGAGTAAGTATAACTTTAGAATTGTTTGTGGTTCAACAAGCACCAGCATCAGGGATCACTACAAATCCTAAGGGCCCTAAAAACCATCTGGATACGTTTTTAAGTTGTTAAAACATATACCCAGATTCCCTTTAAAAGCAAATGGTATTAAAGCTCCTTGGTTGTGTTTCAAGCTAATAACAAACCCTCTATATTTTTATTTTTTCACGACACCCAACCAGCATCTCTCATTAGTACTATCAATGATCAAATTAACATCCAAGTACAGATTTAGGAAATATTGTAATTTAGAACCAGCAGAAACCTTAAAATTTGTCTAGTTCAACCTCATCTTTTTGCAGACTAAGATCTTGACTAAGAATTACACTCAGAGAGGTGTAATTCAGAACTATTGTTTCCATATTTGCTCTCAGTAAGGATTAAAAAGTTATCATTGGGTAAGTAGCTCTAACTAGAGCTTCATAAAGTTAGCCAAAATGGGAAATATCAGGATTCAAAGGAGGATTGAAAATTTTTTAATTATTAGTTTATCAGATTTTTATTATCCAATCAACTGTGTAGATTCCACCTAGAAGTAGGTGACAATATAACTTAGTATTTGGTGATAAGAAAGGTGTATATTTCTTCCCTGAGAAAACTATTCAGCAGTGGAAAGACCTTTTCTTCCTTCATTCAGGTCCCGCCTGCCCAGCATGTTCTCAAATGTTGAGGCTGAAGATCAGTATACTGAGTTATCTTTGTATTTCATGAGTCAACAGTGGATGGTATAACTGATATTTTAATTGAATGCTGTTCTCTCCCATCTCTTCCAAATGTCGACAGCTCCTTTACTAAATCCTTCTTAATTCAAGGACGTCCCGTGAAAGGAGATATGCGGTTAACACCGTCTGAGTTGTTAGCTGGGAGGTTTGGATTTCAATTTACGTCACTGAGTTCAGATAGAATGCCTGAAGCCAAGGCTGCTAACAGCTCTGGGGTTACACCTGCACTGTCCACTGGGGAAGCCACCAGCCCTTTGTGGTTTACAGAGCACTTGAAATGTGGCTGGTCCACACTGAGGGGTGCTGTAAGTGTAAAATACCCACCAGACTTCCAAGACTTCAAATAAAAAAAATAGAATATAAAATATCTCAATTTTTCATATTGATTATATGTTAAAAGGATAATATTTTAAATGTATTTGATAATATATATCATAAATATATTGGATGTATACAAATTCTATATTGAAGAAAATACATTAGATACAATTAAATATATTATTAAAATTAATTTCACCTGTCTTTTTAATTGTCTAATGTGGCTACTAGAAAATTTGAAATTATATCTGTGGTTCACATTATATTTCTATTAAGCAGCTCTGATGAGTCATTTTGAACTGACATTTGCAAAATAGAAAAAAGCTGGTCTGTTTTGCAAAAAAAATGTGCAAGAAATAGTGGAAGTCTGTAACTCTCTGCTTAAAGCCCAGCCTGGCATGCAAACATTCTCATGTTTTACGAGACAATTGAAGTGTCCCTGACCTTTCACACCCAGACACCTGAGGCTGGTCCCTCACCAGTGCGTTTGCTTTTTGAGAGCCAGTGGTGATGCATGCAGCATTGAGGCTTGAGGGGCTGGCCAGGTAGGTACAGGTAAGCAGAGAGGCTTTGGCTAGATACTAGCATCATTCTGAGAGTCAGCTGAAATAGTGCCACCGATCAGTCAGGAGCTCAGCTTCCCTAGGCAGAGGCTGTGTGTCTCCTTTCCTACTGCCTGCTGGTCAGGAACAGAAGTATTTTCATTTTTTTCCTCAGTTAAACGTGTGCTGCCTGTAGCAGCTTGTGCCTGAGGCTTAGCACGTCCTCCTAAATTTAGCTTGAAGCCCCCGCAGGTGAGATCAGAGGAGAGCTGTGATTAGCAGCACACAGTCATCCATAAAACCAAGGTGTAATGCTCTCTCTTACTTTCAAGCAAAAGGGGAAAACCATCCCTATCACATTGCGAGGATGACTAGATCAACCTGGTGAAAGATTCTTGCACCTGTTAGGAAATTGGACTACACTTTCCCTAAGGTCTCTTTAGGCTACAAACCAATGTTTCTTTCCTACTCCCCAAATGCCCATTTGCTCAATAAGTGTATTCTGGCTCTAGAGACGTGCTGGGGATAGTGGAAATGGAGATGGAGATGGAATAGGGGTGTGTGTGTGTGTGGGGGGGGTGCTGCCTGAAGGAATTCATCCATCCATTTGGCTGAAAGCTCCACCAATCTTTGCATCAACTTAAGACATGTCAGTGGGAGAGAGAAAACCAGAATAGGACAGAAGTCACAAACTGGTAGCCCAGAGGTAAGCTCTGTTTGGCCTGAATAACATTTTCAGTAAATTCAAATTCAGAGACAATACTTAAGTACCAGGAGATATGCTTTATAAAAAAAAAATTTATCCCAATTTTAACTTCTTTTGAAAAAAATCCCAAGACCCGGTTACAGGGTCTGTATTTCTCTAAATAGAGTTGGAGCTGAGAAATACCTGCTCCTTCTGAGAAAGGCACCTATATCCTCCAGATTGGGAGTTTTTTTTCCTGTCCTGCTTTCCTCCTTTATGTTACCTGTTTGGCTGGCCCTGGCTGGTGCTTGAGTCTGCAACCCCGAGGAGCTTTTAAATCCTCCTGACCTCAGCATTTTATGGTCTCTTGATGTAATGTTTCCAGGGTCCTTGATAGACCTGGGTCATTTTATTTTTACCAGTTTCCCTGGAGTTCTCTCAACAAACATCAAAAGGCCCCAGAGCACAATCAGTGCTGCGCAGAGGCCAGAACCCTATGGCTTCAGCTGAAGGGCTGAGTCTGATCTTGGCAGGCAAGCAGAGCCCTGCACTTGACAGCTCTTTCTAGCAATCATGGTTTTTTGATGGCCTAGTATGACAGACCCCAAACTTTTGCATCCATCTGGTAAGCAAAGAAAAGGGAATGGAGATAGCGGGATTGGTTTGCCCAAAGGAGCAGCCTAGAGACTGACTCTGCTCTCACTCATTCCCTGTAAAGGCTGGAAAAGGCCGCTGGGGAGAAATTCAGTAAGAGGTATGTATGTAGGATGGAAGTGGTAGAGAAGCTTCCTTCCACTGTCCATGGGGCCCTACAGGCTCAGGCCCCTCACACCTATTTTGGTTACCCTGAAACCCCTAATGGTAGATTCAGTCCCCCAGGCTACTCTATTGGCCAATTACGAACACTTGTTTTTACCATTTTATGCATGAGGGCTCATGTGCAGTAAGCACAAGAGAGTATTATCTTGCAATGAGAGATTTTGAAGGTGAAAAAAAAAATCCCATTGTTCCCAGCCTGACTAAAAATTGAAAAGCAGAGAAAAGTGTTGAAAACAGTGGTTTTAGGATTTGTTTGAATCAGTTTGACTTCATGCATCAAAGAGATGACACAGTTTTGTAAAAATTGACCCCTGAATATTAACTCCCAATGGATACTGCTCGTGTCACTGTTCACATTTTGTTTTCAACAGAAGCTGATTTATATGGAGAACACCTCCCCGTCTAGATTCAGGGGCTGTTGCTGCGACTCACTAGATGCTCTGCCTCTACTCTCATCCCTTCTAGTTCTCAGGCCTGGAATGTCTGATACCGTTTGGTAGAACCTCCCATTCAAATAAGTTCTACATTAAAATAGTTTAACCAATCTGTCATGTAAAGAGGCCAGAAGTTTCCAAGTCACCTTTCCAAACTTCTAACTTCTCACTCTCAGAAGAGTAGGAGGCAAAGAGAGGAGTACTTTTTAAATCTCTTTCTATTCTTTCATCTTTCAACACTCCCAGAGCACTTAATCCACCCCCCCCCCTCATCCAATCACAAACAAGCACTCTCCACATCTTCCTCCACCCAAATGAAAGCCTATTTTAAAAATCCTACTATGGAACCAAAGAATTTAAGAACAGATATACATCTCAAAGGCTATCATTGAGCTCAATTCTCTCATTTTACTTTGAGGAAATAAGCCCAGAGAGGCATAGGGTCTTCCCCATGGTCACACAGCTGTTAAGTGGCAGAGTAGGGATTAGAAGCCATATCTTTTGTTTCACCAGATAGTAGTCTAGTCTGTACTCCCCCCCACCACCCCCCAACTGCATTACACCCCAGTTCATTTGGAGATAAAGTGGAAGGTGAAGTACAGGGAGCAGGAGCAAGGACCCCTCAACGGACAAAAATCTTCTACAGTGCAGGAAACTTACTCTTCCTCAGGACTTCTCGGCACTCAGGGGTGATGGGTGGAGCATTGGACTTCGACAGGGCATTTGAGAGGACCTCGATGATGCAGCGAGTCACCTGGGAGGAAAACCCAAAAGTAGGTTGGCAAAAGCTGGTGTCACTGGGATGACAGACTACTCAACCCAGAGCTGCTGTTCAGAGATGCTTGGCCTATACTGATGCGGGATCCTTGGGGCAGGAATGATTCACAGAACCATAATGAAACCTCCCAGGTATCTCCTGGGCAATGCAAGAAGGCACTGGGCCAAGATTACCCAAAGAAGAGAAGTAAACACCCATTTCTCAATAGGTTGGTAGAAAAATGGTGTGATGATGCAGTTATCCTTAGAGGCACTAAACATCCAGGAAGGAGTTGAGAGCTCAGGGCAGGAGGGACATCCCTTGCCCCCATTCCCTCAGGAGTGAAAACCTGGCTTTGTAAGATTATGTTGTGTTTTTTTGTTTGTTTTTGTTTTTGTTTTTAAGATTTTATTGGGGAATTGGGGAAGGGGAACAGTGTTGAGGAATTGGGGAAGGGGAACAGTCAAGTTGTTGTCCTTCAATCTTGGTTGTGGAGGGTGCAGCTAGCTCAGCTCCAAGTCCAGGCCACCCATCGGCAGCTCGCTGCTGCTCAGCTCAAGGTGCCGTGTTCAATCTTAGTTGCAGGTGGGCATATCCCACCATCCCATGCAGGAGTTGGACCGGCAACCTTGTTGTTAGGAGCATGTGCTCTCACCAGCTGATCCATCCTGCCACCTGTTGGCACCTCAGCTCGGACACAGCTCACTGGTCCATGTGGGAATCGAACCAGTGAGCCCGTTGCTCAGAGCTTGCGCTCTTAACCAACTGAGCCACTCAGCAGGCCCTATGTTGTGGTTTTTATTGTCTGTTTGTTTGTGTTTTTATTTTGTGTGGTTTGGTATCATAAGGAGTGGAAGAATCCAGAGTCTAGATTCTAGAGTCACATTTCCACTTACCATTTCTTCATTGTGATTCCTGTTATCCGCTGGCATAGAACTGACAGCTATGAAAGAGAAAAAGAATGGGAAATGAGTTGAGTTGATTTTGGAAGTTGTATGAACCCAAACCCACAAAATTACCCCACATCCCCCACACACATTACTTGGAGAAAGGGGCAGAGTCAGAGCTGAGCAGAGTGGAGGAAGTTGGGGAATGATTGCCCCAGGAGTCATAAATGCCTCCATTGCATACACACACACACACACACACACACACACACACACTCACACACACACACTCACACACACACACACACACACATCTATTTTCCCTAGGAATGTCTTGAACATGATTTGGAAAAATATGTTGTCTTATATCCAGTATAAATCAAATACAGACCACAGACAGACAAGGGGAGATTTTGGGGTACTGGTAATGTTTCTTGATCTGGAAGCTGATCACACAGGTGTGCTCAAAGCATGAAAAATTATACTTATGATCTGTGCAGTTTTCTATATGTATATTATACTTCAATAAAAAGTTTAAAATAAACCTAGTTTAAATGAATCCAGGGTGCCTTCTTCAGCTTTTCTGCCCATCCAAAATGTGTAAAGAGCTGTGATTCCCTCTGCCTATTCCTGCCCTCAAGAATATGTTCTCCTCAAAACTCACTTCCTTTACAAAATCATGGTTGTGACTCTCTTACGTAATTAATTGCCTGAACAGGCTTGCTTATGCATCTGTATCTATCAGTGCTGTATCATCCCCCATGTTGTCTGCAGCCATGTAAAGCTCATGGGAGGTATCTAATTCTATAAGTAGATTACCAAGTACATAATATCACATGCAAATAGGCACTTAACAATCATTTATAGGATATTTTAGTTTAACAGCTATTTATGAGGATATTTTTTAAAGGATAATTTTTAATTTATTTAAATTAAATTTCATGAGATTCAACTTATTTTAAACCAGCAGTTGAAGTGTGTTTGTCTTCTTAGGAAATGCTTCAGTTGATTTTAATTTTTTCAGTGCCTTCTTTTATTCTTCCAAAGTTGCTTTGATCCTTTTATCTTTCGCTTTGACTTTGTTCTGTCTAACCTTTTTCCATTGGAGAAGCTCAAAGCATTTATGTACAGAGAAGCCCCTCTCTACAGTTCTCCTGACACTTCCTGGAGAAGAAACTGCTATTATGGCTGAAGAAGCCCATTGCATAAAATTTTTCTAAGTCTCTGAAACAAGAGTACAGCTAGCTGGAGCAAGAGCGAAACTCTTGGACATCGGAGATGGCAGCTACTCAAATGCAGTTTATTTATAACCAGCAATCCGGCCTTTCCTCCCCAAATGTTTGCTCTTGAGCCTCTTTACTACCCTTACCCCACCAATCAATTACATATCACAGGGCTCAACCTAGAAATAAAACACCTATTCCATTTACTCACCTTATTGAATTTTCCTTTTTGAAGCACTGCCTGGGATTTACTTCAATTGTTTTAAGAGGCCCAAAGTTATCCAGCATGTTAAAATCATTTGTAAAATGTTTAAGAAGTTGCCAACAATGTATGAAGACTCCCATGTTCTTCCTGAAATCTAGTTCAGACAAGATCCAGATGGTTCTTTAGCACCCAGGGTTCAATATGCTGGACCATTATTTTATCCCCCAAATGGCTGTTATTTGGGAATATTTCCACTTGGGCACTTACTCTGTCCACCTGGAATCTGTTAAATCCTCTGGAAAGAAATATGTGAGAGAATTTCTCCTCTAATAAACTAGAAGTTGCCTTTTTAAAATCTTGCTTTACTAAACCTTTGGTATTCTAGTTTCTTGCTAATACTTTCCTCTTTTATTCTCCCCACAAATGTAAAATAGGTGTTCTTATTAAGTACTCATATTGCCAAAGTATTAACAGTCATTAGATTTGGGGAGAGAGACGTATTTTTCTTTTATTACTCTAAATAATTTGTAGCTCAGTTTATTATTACAGGACAGTCCTGTTTCTCTGATTGAGGCTCCTCAGACATCTTTTTGATGGAAAGGAGAGTGAGAGTCTCCTTGCGAAAGTGTGTTATGCATCTTGGTGAAATATCTAATTGTCACTGCATTTCTTCCAACAGGATCTGTGACAACAAAGTAATAACTAAGACATGTTGATTCCCCTAAAGCAGTGTACCTTATTTTTGTATAAAGTAAGATTCAAGGGGCACAAAAGGAAACCCAATGATTACATTAAAATGAAGTAGTCAGATGGCAGAAAAATTTTCAAATAATATTGTATGATAAATCTGAGAATAATGTCTAAAGTACTAATATCTCACAAGACAATCAAGGTTTGATTTCCCAGATTGAAAATACAGTTATAAAATAACAAGTTAGGCAAGCCCTTCTGAATGCGAAACCATCTGACCTGGTATAATACGGCTATCATTTGGCTACTTCACTCATATTAATTTTTGGAGTACCCAGTAGCTGCTATAGAAAGGTGTGGATCTCCCTCCAGAAGCTCGTAAGGGAAGGAAATGAACCATATGGTTTCCCCCAGCCTTGTGATTTTGCTTAATAACAAACTCTGCTTGAAGGTTGCCATGTCTCATTTCCAGGTCCTGGGGAGAGGGGGGAATGGAAAATGACTGCTAATGAATATGGAGTTTCTTTCTGGGGTGATAAAAACGTTCTGAAATTTGATAGTAGCTATACAATCTGTGAATATACTAGAAATTACTAAATTACGCACTTGAAAAGGGCAGATTTTATGGTGTGTGAATTATAGCTGAATAAAATTTTTTTTAAAGAGTATAATGTCCCCATTTTAGCTCATACTAAAATATGAGCCCTTCTTAAAATATTCTCTTACATAAGACAGCCATCAATATTTTACCACTATCGTTAAGTAAGCTTCACAAATGTCACTGTTTAGTGTTCCAGCACAATGTATAGCACAGCTTTAGCCTCTTAAGCAATTCCTTTCTGAAGATATTTTTCACCAGAAAGACTCTAAATTATTGATTTGGTTTTCTTGAATTAAATCGAGAACATTGATAGGTGATTTGTAAGAATGACAAACATTTTAGAAAATCACGTATGTGTGTAGCTTGCAATAAAATAAATTACCACTGGCTTTCCTTTTGTCTCTTTACACTTTAGATCCAGTCATTGTTGTCAATGAAAGCTTCATATTCATGGATGGCATTACCTCAATTCTAGTTTGGACTCCTGATCTCAAATTTAAAAATAAATTCTGTGAGGTCATTAAAACAGTCAGAGAAATCCTCCAGTTTAATCTGGTGCTGACATATTTACGTCTCAGTGGTCTCAAACTCATCGTGACTTTACTTCAACACACACACACACACACACACACACACACACCCTTTATTTTCAGATCTCCAGTGGTCATTTCTTTGAGATTCAGAATAGTTTGAAAGATGAATCCCACATTCTTCCACACATAAAGACACACTGTCAAATATCTGCTACTTAAAATTTCATCCTGTTATGTCAATTATACCTCAATGAAAAAAAAAGACCAAAAAAAATCATCCTCCCAAATTGACTAAAGCAATTTTGTTTTCATTCATCCAAGGACATTTTGTAGTTATTTTATACTTTTCTTTTTCTGCAATACAAAACTCAGAATATCTACTGCAGTTTCCATTCATAAGTTAAAATGCATTGAGTGTGAAATTACCTCTCTCCAGACACGCAAATACAAAATACAGAAAAACATTACATTAACCTTGTACACACATATACCTGAACACACACACACACACATATATATATATATAATCATGTTAAGAGAAAAATAGGATATCATATATACACGAGACTTACTTTTGTCTCATCATGTTTATATAATAATAATAATAATAATAATAATAATAACAAAGCGAAATATGCAGATGCTAACTAATATCATATTACATGCACTCCTATCACTCCTTCGTTATCTGGCTTTAAAAAGCCAAATACTTAAATACAGATACAGAATAAGACTATAAAAGCGTCTCTCTAGACGGGTGGGTAGAGAGAGCATGACAATTTAGAAGTGAGCGCAAAATGTGCGGTTTCCTTGGAGGCACGGGCACGTTTTCTCCCTATCCACAGGAAAGCTCAGATGTGAAAAGGCTGAGACTCTACTGGTTGGGCTAGGAAGAAGCCCTCTGGCTTTTTCCAAGACAGGCGGTAGGGCGGGGACTTGAAGGGAAACACCCGGGGAAGAGAAGACATTAAGAACCTCTAGCAAGAGGGAGAAACCTTCTATTGTGTTTAACCCTCCCTCTCTCCCAGTATCCTCCAGCTAACCCGCCGCGAGCGGCGGGGAAGATGGAGACTGGCGCTGTCCGCGGTGCTGAACAGCCCGCCGCGCCCACTCACCGGCCACCATCGTGGCTCCGAGGAGGCCGAGAAGCACCGCCGGATGCATGGCCCGGCTCGCCTGAATCTGCGCGCCGAAGAGGATAGTGGCAGAATCAGTTGAGCGAAATGAGGACGGAAGGCGAGATGAAGATGCTCCGGGAAAGCGGCCGTGTGTCTTGTGCCCACGGTGTGGCGCGGTTGGCGCAGGCCCCCCGCTCTTTTAAAGGGTAAGTCCCGGCCTCACGGCCGGGAGGGGCGGGCACCCAGCAAGCGGCGCCCCCTTACTCAGCCCTGACGTCACGAGGCAGCACAGGGGGCGGCGGTGCAAGTAGGCTGCAATTTGCGCCAGTCCAGTCGCCTGGGTGCTCTGGGTCTGGAGCGGGGGTGGGGGCGGACGAAGGAATGGAAGGATGAAGAGAGGTAGTGCCGATCTGAGACTCAGGGAGAGGCTGGAAGCCCTGCTTGGGTTGCCCAAGCTTACTCCTCATCTCCTCCTCACATACTTCCAAGTCTAAAATCGTGTTGGAGGCTGTGTATGTTGTGCGGTTCTATTGAGAGGGTGTCCATCCATGAGTAAGTCTGTTTTGTATCTCCACTACCCAGGGGAGGGTAGGACTCTTGCTAAACAGAGAAGACTAAACGGTGGTGGAAATGGAAAAGACTTGATAGCTTTAAAAACAGAAGGTGCAGCTGGAAAATATGGAACCTGAGGGTTTTTTTCAAACTTTTGGTCTTACACCTACCCATGATTCATTTATCTACCTACCTATCTAGCTAGCTAGCTATCATCTATCTATAATCTAGCTACCTATCTATTATTCTCCTATTCTACTATAACTCCCTTCCAACAATAGTATATACACGTGGTAAAACATTTTTAAATCTCAGATGAGACAAAAGGGTTCACTATAAATGTCTCCCCTCCACCTCGATCTCCCCAAGTTCCCCAGTTCTCCTCAGCAGAGTCAACATGACTTAATTAATTTCTGTTGTTAGGCTTAAATTATTTTGGAATGTATACAGCTGCAACTTCTTCTGAATGGCTACGTAGTATTACATTGATTGTATAGGCTAGAATTTATTTATCCAGGCCCCTTTCTGATGGGCATTTATTTAGGTTATTACCCTTTGGCATCTTATTACTCCTTTATAACAGCCATGGTCTCAGGGGTGGGGAATGGAATAACCTGTTTGTAGGAGTCCCCTTTGCTTTAAAATTGAAGTAGAGGAAAATATTTTTTTATTATGTATGAGAGGAAGGTGAAAACATCTTCCAGGATAATTTTGATGTGGGTTCTCTCAGTCTAATGAGGAATCAGGAAAGCAGCAGGAAAGTGCCCTGCACCCAAGAGAAACAATTCATAATCTTCTCTGATAACACAGGTTTTGGGAAATGGAGTAAGCCTTCATTTGGGGTCCCTTTTGGGGAAGGCAGATGTCTGCTGCACAGCTAAAAGGAGGTTTTAGTGTCCTTTTCCTTAAAATCAATGAGGCTCAAATTCTTTTTGCATGTGCTGCAGTGGATGGATGGCTGCATCTTCCTGAAAAGTCTGGGAGTTATTTCACCAAGACCACAGCCAGAGAATGTTTAAAAGAAGAATCTTAAAAAGGATATTAGCAAAATTTGAATAAGATCTGTAAATTACATAATGATTGTGTGTCAATGTTAATTTTCTGATCGTGAGAATTCTACTGGGATTATGTAAGAGAATGTCCATGTTTTTAGGAAATATACCTTAAAGTACCTAAAGGTAAAAGGGTGTCATGTGTACAACTTACTCTCAAATGTCTTAGAAAAATATAAAGATAGAGAGAGGAAAAGAGAATACTAAGGCAAGCAGGGCAACGTGATAACATTTGGGAAATTGAGGGTGAAAACTGTATGGAGATTTTTAATACTATTTATGCATTTTTCCAAAATCTGATATTATTTTAAAACAAATAGAAAAGAATGTTCTTGGCACAAAAGAGTCTGTAAAGCAGTGGGTACAGAAAGAAAAGGGTGTTGCGTGAGAGCCTTCCTTTCCTTGGGTATTGATCTGGAAGAAGTTCTTCCTCTACTGTTGAAATACATAAGGGTTCCAACTGCTCTTTTAAATGAGCTGATTGCCAATAGTACTTGCAAATCGCTACATTTCAGGAGCACCTGCATTCCACTTTTATAATGATTTCCCTCTCTTCTTGCTCCCTTGAAAAGCACATGGTTAAAAATGTTAATGTCATCTTGTAGATTCTCAAACTGGGCTTGAACGGGGTTTATTACTCATCAGGAAAAGTCTTTTCATTATTGTCAGTTGGCCCACAGTCAGTTCCCATATTCAGACCTACCTTTTTTTTACTCATTATTTCATAATAACATGAGATGGGGACAAAGACACATTAAAAAAATACATATCACAACCTAATTGTTCTGGGACTTTTTTAACTGTCCTTTTCCACCTGCTCAATCTTGGCACTTTGAAAAAAAAACTTAGAGTCCACATGTGCCTGGGCATGTTTTTAGCTCTTCTGGAATATTGATCTATTCCATTTCATTGGTCTATTTGTGTATCCTTGGAGCAATACCACACTTTCTCTATCACCATAGTTTTTTTAAAAAAAGATTTGTATTAAAAATATAGCTAACATATAATATTATATTAGTTTCAGGAACACACCATAGTTATTCAACATTTATATACCTAAAGTGATCACCATGATAAGTTCAGCAACCATCTGACACTGTGCTATGCTATCACAATATTATCGACTATATTCCTTATGCTGTATATTACATCCCCATGACTTACTTGTTTTATACCTGGACACTCAATATTATTTTATATTAATTTCAGGTGTACAGCATAGTGGTTAAACATTTATGTAATTTAAGAAGTGATCCCTCTGACTAGTCTAGTACCCACCTGGCACTATACATATTTATTGCCATATCATTGACTATATTCCTTATGCCTTACTTTACATCCCCATTACTATTTTGTAACTACCAATTTGTAGTTCTTAATCCCTTCACCTTTTTCACACTGCCCCTCACTCCCCTCATCTATCACCCCAACAAATCTAGTACCTATCTGACACCATACATAGCTATTACAACATTATTGACTATATTTTTTATGCTATATTTAACATCCCCATAATTACTTTGTAATAATCAATGTGTGCTTCTTCTTCATTTTTTTTAAGGATTTTATTGGGGAATTGGGGAAGGGGAACAGCCAAGTTGTTGTCCTTCAATCTTAGTTGTGGAGGGTGCAGCTAGCTCAGCTCCAAGCCCAGTCACCATCCGACCACCCATCAGCAGCTCGCAGCAGCTCAGTTCAAGGTGCTGTGTTCAATCTTAGTTGCAGGTGGGCATAGCCCACCATCCCATGTGGGAGTCAAACTGGCAACCCTGTTGTTAGGAGCATGCACTCTTAGCAGCTGAGCCATCCTGCCACCTGTTGGCAGCTCAGCGGCAGCTCAGCTTGGGCTCAGTGTTACTGGCCCATGTGGGAATCAAATGGGCAACTCTGCTGCTCAGAGCTTGCGCTCTTAACCACTCGGCTGGCCCCAATTTGTGCTTCTTAATCCCTTCTCCTGAGTTCACCCACACCCCAACCCCCCTCCCAACTGGCAACCATCAAAATGTTCTCTGTATCTATGTGTTTGTTACAGTTTTGTTTGTTTGTTTATTTTCTTTAGATTCTACATATAAGTGAAATCACACTGTATCTGTCTTTCTCTGCTTACACTTGACTCAGCACAATACCCTCCAGGTCCATTCATATCACTGCAAGTGGCAAGAACCCATCCCTTTCCATGACTGAGCAATATTTCATTGTATATATGTACTACCTCCTCCGTATCCATTCTTCCACTGACAGACACCCAGGCTGCCTCCACATCTTGGCCATTGTAAACAATGCTGCAATGAACATATGGATGTACATGTTCCTCGAAGTAGTGTTTTGGGTTTCTTTGAATAAATACTCAAAAGTGGGATTATTGGGTCCTTCTTTGTCTCTTGTTATAGTCTTTGCTTTAAAGTCTATTTTGTCTGGTATAAGTATTGCTACCCCAGCTTTTTTTGTTTTGTTTTGTTTTGTTTTATTTCCGTTTTCATGAAATGTTTTTTTTTCATCCCTTCATTTTCTATCTGTGTGTGTCTTTCAACCTGAAGTGAGTCTTTGTAGGCAGCATATGTAGGGTTTTGTTTTTTTATCCATTCAGCCCTCCTATGTCTTTTGATTGGAACATTTAATCCATTTACATCAAAAATAATTGTTCATAGATATGTAGTTATTGCCATTTTATTATTCATATTTTTTATCTTTTTTATTTTTCCATCTTAAAGAAGTCCCTCTAATATTCCTGGTTTGGTTGTGATGAACTCCTTTAGCTTTTTCTTGTCTGTGAAGCTCTTTATCTGTCTTTTGCTTTTAAATAATAGCCTTGCTGGGTAGAGTAATCTTGGTTGTAGGTCCTTGCTTTTCAACAAGTTGAATATTTTGTGCCAGTCCCTCCCAGCACCAGCTCACACGGCACTGTCTGTGAGTGAGTTTTTAGCCAGTAAACAAATAAGTGTGTTGAAAAACCCTCCCTACTCACCTGATCTGGCCCCCAGTGACTTCTTTCTTTACCTGAAGATAAAAGAAATATTGAAAGGAAGACATTTTGATGACATTCAGGACATCAAGAGTAATATGATGACAGCTCTGATGACCATTCCAGAAAAAGAGTTCTAAAATTGCTTTGAAGGGTGGACTAGGCACTGGCGCCTAGCTTCCTAAGGGGAGTACTTCAAAGGTGACCATAGCGGGCCGGCCGAGTGGCGCGATGGTTAAGAACTCGCTTGGGATGCCAGAGGGCCCCGGTTCGGATCCCACATATGAGGGCCAGTGACACTGCCCTCCACAGCTAAGATGCTGAACAACAGCTCAACCTGGAGCTGGGCTGCCATGAGTCGCCGGCGACGGCGTGGGCTGCAGTCCCTGTGGCAGTGGATTGCCATGGGCTACCGTGTGTGGCCAGCAGCCAGCGTGAGCGGCCAGCAGCCGCAGTGAGCGGCCGTCCAGAAGCTGGCGACTGATCTGCCTCGCCAGAGAAAAGCGCAATGATGGTGCCAACTTGGGCCAGTGCAGCAACATCCTCCACAACTAGATTGAAGAACAAAACGACAGCAACTTGTCTGTTCCCCTTTCCCCAATTCCCCAGCACTGTTCCCATCCCCCAATTCCCCAATAAA